CTGTAATTGTAGCATCTTTCAATCGATTTTTAAGCCTATGTTCGATTTAAATAAAAAATAGATTTTTAGAAAATTTTAATAGAAATTAATAAAAAATAGGATTAAAAAATTATAAATTAAGTTAAATGAATTATTAAAATTAATAATTTTTCACATCAATAATAGTGAGAAGTTTGCTCACTAAAGTTAGTGAGCAATTTCGATCTTTCCTTACCCACAAAGTCAGAGAATTTGCCACCTGGCAAGGCCGCTCAACAAGGAGGATTAATGTCCAGCTGTCCTTTTTCTGCGTACACTATGCAATTTTATTTCAGACGGTGAGCTTCGCTTCTCGCTCACTCACTTAGGGGAAGCGTACACGTGTCGTGTCAGCACTCAGCATTATTATATCTTTAAAGAATCAAGAATTCACGTGTCGTGTTTATAAAGTAGAACCGCGTGCCGTGTGCCAGAACCACACGATTTATTTGCCTGCCGGTGAAGTTACTGTTTGCCCCAGCCACATTCTTTCTCCCAGTCTCCACGCCACTCTAGAGCCGCGTTCAAAGTTGACTTTTTTAAGATGATAAAATCTATTTACTACTTTTTTTGTCCAAACAAAAAGAGTAATTCATATATTACGTATATGTGCAAAAAAAATAACTTTCTTGTTTTCAATTTTTACTTATTTAAGAAATTATTTATTGTAAAGCCTACTTAATTAGTTATAAGTAAACGTTTTAAGCGAAAATTAAGACTAAGCTTTATTTAACTTTTGGTTATGAATCTTCAACTTTTAAAATTGAAGATCTAGATTCCAACCTATTTGTTGATGACTAAAAATGACGTGACAATATTAGATCAAGTTAAAGGAAAAATTTATTGAACATTGTTGGAATCGGATCAAAGTTTACAATGTAATTTTATGAAAGAAGCATTTGAAAGTGTTTGTGGCTAAATCTTCTTAGTTATGCCTCCGGAGAGGATCATTTGGCCCGATTTATAGGATATAAATTCATCTCACTTGCCCGCTCAGGGTATTTTCTGCTGCAGTACCGATCTAGAATGCGTGCCAACGCTTGAAATTTTGATTTCTTGATTGGTTAATGAGATCGGCTTAGTAGATCACTATTACACCTATGCATCAGTTGTGACGTCAGATAATGATGACATCGATGGATAATCATTGCTTGCTTATAATTGGTTGTAAACTAGTTGATGACTTCATGACTGCCACGTGTCCTACTGAGAGTAGTTGGTGGTGAGGTGGGGCAGTGTAGTAGGGATTTATTAATGATGATCTCTCTTAAATTACGATGGCTAATGTTCGAGCTTAAACTTTTTCTAGTGTAGTTCGACTTTACATTGTGTTGTCTTGGGTCAGACGATTCTTTTTTCTAACAAATGTTAGGTCGAACACCAACACTATTCAAATGTGTAAATTTCTCCAAGTGATCGAAATTGTTGATGTTCAATAAAATCGTTGGGTATCTTCGCACGACACAAAGTTTAAGAGCAAAATTGACATTCCCCTTAACATTTCTCTTTCACGAAATTTTAATAACTATATTGACAGCTTCGACTATATGGGAACCAAAATTCAAATATTTAAATATATACAGAAGTCAACTTTACTCTTAAGGTTAAATTCCCTTAACCACATAACTTGAAATGTTAGAATACCTAACCCTAATTTTCTCACTTTCTAGAGCCAAAAATGGTTTTGCATATCAAGAAGAGTATGCTTAGACACCCCATAGTTGAGGGGTTCTGTAGTAATTTAACTGATGCTAGCACTTGTTTTTCTCTCCTTAATTTTAGCCTCTGTGGGTTGGGTGTAATGTTCTAGAATGAGAATCGTGACCAATGATTAGCACACGTGGCTAGCTGAGACGTGTTCTCACGAAACTTAAGGTGTCTTTCTAGATAGCCAACAGAAAAGGATATTCCAAAGTAACTTATAATTCAAAAAGCTCTCAATGTAAAATAAGTGTAGTGTACACACCATCCATCAGACACCTCATTTCAACTCTTCAACACACCACCGCCCCCATCCAACCCAAAATCTCATCCACAAAAGATAAAAGTATCGAACGACAAGAATCGAAAAGTTTCAAGTTAGTCCTGAATTGGTCAAAACCCACGTATCTAAAAATCGTTGAAATAAGATATTAATTTGGTTCAAAGTTTGAAATCTAAAATAATATCTGAACCCCCGTTTGACACCTATTTTCTTTTCATTCTCATTGTTTTTCTCTTTCTTCGTTTCAAACACACACTCTATCAATAAAATAATACTACACATAAACCTAAAAATTCTCATTACTTTTCAGCCACACATTCTTCCATCAATCACTATTCCATAATTTATTTTTTCTTCAAAATGGGTGTCAAACAGGGGTTGAGTTACTATGAAATGACTTGTTTTTACGTAAAATTCTATATATATTTTTTTTTAATTTGAACTTTTTACTATTGGACGAATTCCGATTAGATCATTTGAATTTCGAATATAAATATTTCGTATCAAATTTTTAAACATTAATTTCAAAATACATTTCTCTTTCTTTTTTTTTTGTCCACGCATTCTTCAAAAAAAATTCTGAGGGTGTTTGATAGGAATTAAAATTAGATTTTTAATAGATTTCGATAAAAGTTTTTGAAATGTGTTGTTTAAAAGTTGTGGGACCCATGAAAGATGTGGTTAATATTGATTGTTTGACTTTAATTTAGATTAAAATCAGATTTTAATTCGGACCAAACAGGGGCTCTATTACAAAATACATTTTTTTTTCTCTCTCAAAAAGCTAATTATAATGGATTTGAATGACTTGTAGAGAACTCAAATAACCCTACACCCTTACCTAGTGGACATTTCTTGATTTGACTGGCCGCTTATTTTCTATATGATAAGTATGAATTTGTAGATAATTCTGGTATATAAACAAATGCTATATTTTAAAGCACGGCACCGCCTGCAAACTTTCCTTTTTGAATTTTCTTGGATGTCTACGATACAATTGAATCCTTTTTAAAAGAGTTAAACTACTAGTCAATGTACCGATTGAAGAACCCTTTTGCCCCAAATATTTTGTGTAAATTCATTGCATGTCACTATTCAATTAATAATAATAATAATAAAAAGCCCTAGAAACCTCTAGAAAATATTTAGTTCACATTTAATAGGTAATTAAATTTATCCATCTAACATAAACCACTATAATTTATAATAAATGATATTATAATTTCCAAAAAACAATATCAAATTTAATATCAAATCATCTTTAAAATGTATAATCTTGCACGATAATTTAATTATTATTTAAAATTTTCCCAAAATTAAATAAAGAAGAGGTTAATTTCACAAACGGTCACTGAACTTACCTAAAAATTATAAAACGGTCACTGAAATTGAAAACTTGCAGAAACCATCACTGAAATTTCATGCGCTTTAATAAACGGTCACTGAACTTACTATTATGACTGTTATGACGTTAATTCAAACTTAATGTATCAAAACACGTGGACATAGAAACTTGAGGACCTCAAGTGCAAATTTGGCTGAAATTCTGCTCAAATTGGCCGAAATTTGACCCAAAATTTGGCAAACGAAGGCTGTAATTTCCGCAATTGATTGGGTACCCAATATTTTTTTAGCCTGGATTTCAATTCCCCCATATTGATGTGTATTTTGAAACACATTTGAGCCTCCAATTGATGGATGAAATTCAGATTCACGCGGGCGGATCATTCTTGAAGCCAAATCCAAAATTGTTTCTTTTTAACTGATGAAATGTAGCATTTGAATCCTTACCCCAAGGCCGTTTTATCATGAATTTCATTCTAGTTGGCCAATTTGTTGATTGGAGTTGTGGAGAAGCCGAGAAGCATCAATTGAAAGGGGATCGAGTGGCTCGCGATGCGTTCGAGTTGCCCCACCGTTAATTGCCGGTTCCAGATCAAATTGGGGAAGACCCATGCGCTCAATGGATGCGCCGAAGGAGTAGTTGCCTTAGGTGGTAGTCTGGATCATGGGTCCCACCACCGACGTCGTGAACAGAGCTTTCTGATTTTGATGGAGTTGATTATTATGGGGAAGACCCATGCGCTCAATGGATGCGCCGAAGGAGTAGTTGCCTTAGGTGGTAGTCTGGATCATGGGTCCCACCACCGACGTCGGGAACAGAGCTTTCTGATTTTGATGGAGTTGATTATTTGTTGATTGGAGGCTATGGATAGGGTCGCCTAGAAGAGGAGAATCGACCAGTATATTTCTTTTAACGTGGGTGTCGCCGGATTGTGTATTTTCGATCGTTTTGGGATGGGAGTGGAATTTGCACTTGAGGTCTTCAAGCTTCTATGTCCACGTGTTTTGATCCTTTGCGTTTGAATTAACATCATAACAGTCCTAATAATAAGTTAAGTGACCGTTTGTGAAAGCGCATGAAATTTCAGTGACCGTTTCTGCAAATTTTAAACTTCAATTATCGTTTTATAATTTTTAGATAAGTTCAATGATCATTTGTGATATTAACCCAATGGAGAAGTCGAAAACATGAACCACTTCCATAAAAAGAATATGCGTTATTTTGTTTCTGACTTGGAAAAGGCATGTGAAGATTAGGCGAGTTATCACACACACACAAATGACAAACCCACTCTTATTGTCTTATTGACCACACTCTCTCCACCCCCACCGCCTCTACACTACTACTATCTATAATCTTTATCCTTAATTATTTTTTAATTAATTGAGGAGTTGTTATTTGTTAATTAATTAAATACATATTCTCTTACCTGTACTGTACAACTCCCCCACCGCCATTCCCCACGCAACTTCCAACTCCCCTAAACCACACTATATATAAACTTCCCAAACCTTTCTTCACTCACTCAGTCTTCTACAACACATTACTCTTAAGCTTTCTCTCTCTCTATATATTCGTTTTCACACACACAAAAGCACACAGTTTCTTGATTTTCCGGTGGAGAAATAGATACTGATTATGGCACTTGAAGCTATGAATTCGACCGCACCGGGACTCCGGTATGAAGATGTTGACCGGAATCTTGATTCCTGGACGAAAAGAAAGCGCTCAAAGCGTGCACGCAGTGAAAACCCACCGACGGATGAAGAATATTTAGCCCTCTGTCTCGTCATGCTAGCTCGCAGCGGTGGAGACGGAGGTGGCGCCACCGCCAGTCCCTCCCTTAATACAACCAGTCCCACTAAGACAACAACTGATTTTACCAAGAAGCAAACAGAAAATTCGCCACCGCCATCGCCACCGACGACGCAGAACCAGTCATACAACTGCAGCGTGTGTAACAAGGCTTTTCCCTCGTACCAAGCCCTCGGCGGACATAAAGCAAGCCACCGCAAGAACTCCACCGCCACCGCTTCAGACGATGGCAATACTTCCACATCGACATCTGCCAACGCCGCAAGCACCGCTTCTAATGTATCTGCTCTCAACCCAACAGGCAGACTTCACGAGTGCTCCGTCTGCCACAAGTCGTTCCCTACAGGCCAGGCTTTGGGTGGTCACAAGCGGCGCCACTACGAAGGCACCATCGGTGGAGGCGGCGGGAGCTCTAAAAGCGGTGTCACCTCTTCCGACGGCGGTGTGGCCAGCCACAGCACTAGCCACGCTCCAAAGGACTTCGATCTGAATCTGCCTGCAACGCCAGAGTTCCAATTGGCGTTGACCGTTGACTGTGAGAAGAAAAGTCAATTTCTTGTTGATCAAGAAGTGGAAAGCCCATTGCCTTCCAAGAAACCTCGTTTAACCTTATTTGAGGATGGATTTTAATTAAATTTATTGTATTTAATTTAGCTTGATTACGTGATTTTATGTAATTCTTTAGGAAAATATTTGGGGGGGTAAAATTTGTTTATTCAGTTATATTTAAATAAAGAAATTGTTATTTTGAGTAATTTCTTTTTTGCTAAATTCATTTATTTCATTTAGTTGGTAATGGTTAGATATTACAAATTAATGGGGGACAGTGGGTTCTGTTTAGTAGGAATATGAGTTTGTGGTCGACACAAAGTTGTTCATGTCCGCATTATTGAGGGTTAGCAAGTATTCTCTTACTCAATTTTAATTACGCATTTATAAAATAAAATATTTTATACGTAAATTTAAAATTTTTTCTCTTGTTAATTATACGTTCTTTAATAGGTCATTATTCAAAATTTTATTTTTTCAAAATAATGATCATTAAACAGGAGCTTAATTCATGGGCATGGAGAACGCTCATTGAAAATATAACTTAGAATGACTCTTTTGAGTTCTTGATTATAATTTTCATTTTGATGCTTTTCATTTAATTGTTTAATTTGTCCCCTAATGTTCAATTCTGTTACGTTGTAAAAAAAATTTATCATCTTGGTTGACAGAATGTCACATGAAATACAATCATTCATCGATTTAAAAATACAAACAATTTTCCCACCAATCATTCACTACGTTGTAATATTTAGTGTTCGTTTGGTAAAGATTAAAATTCAATTAAAATTGAAAATATAATCGTTATTGAATTCCACTCGTCTAATAAAAGTCAACAATAACGAACACGTCCTTAATCTTAGTCTCCATTAGTAAAAACAAAATTTCAGTACTAACAATTTCATTTTTTTCAAGAAAAAAAGAACAATTTTTATACATCCTTCACGGACACGTGACCTCTTATCAACTGTGGCAATTGTAGGCGGCAACACATTGCATCTCCACTAGAGGATAGAGCAAATTGGACGGTGGGTGGGTGGGTGGGCGGGCGGCTAGTTAGTCAACATGATGGACATGATTTGTATTTCGAGTTAGCGAATAACCAAAAAAAAAAAAAAATGTGTAATAAAATTGCATTTAGACTATAATAAAATTTAATAATAGATGTTATCAAAAAGTACGTACGAGTACCCATGCGGCCATGATTTAGAAAAATTATTACCCATACGGCCATACCTATTTTTTAACTGTTCATTTCAAAAATTACATTTTTCTTTCGGTACTTTACCCCATCATATGCTACACCAACCCACTTATTTCTACTCTCATCTCTCTAAAAGAACTCTATAATCTCTCTAAACTCCACTGTCGGCCATCGAAACCCCATCTCCTCTCTCGTCATGGCCACTGGTAGTCGTCACCATCGTGATTTCATATAGATTGCCACAACTTGATTTGTGACTGCAGATCTAAAAGTGCTGAATCTATCTTTAAAAATACTCTATAATTATCAAATACTTCTCAATCTCCACAGATTACAATATAATATTGATCTTTGTAGTTGACTAAAACTAATCAACCATCAATGTATATCCTACTCATACGTACACATCACATATATAGATGACTATATTAAATTATTCATTACCATAGCATTACCAAAATTTTCAACACTACCCAATTCACTGCAATCCTTATTGGATGTAGAAGTACCGATTTCTTTCACCTTTATTTATACTCTTCCAAGAAGTAAAACTTCTTTTATCACTTGGCAATTTTGGGAAGATTCTAGTGTTACATAAACCTAATAGATAATAACAAACACCAAGTGAATAATCTATCAAGTAAATAATAGAATTAATCTGAGTAAATTGAAACAGATAATCCCCTATCAATACTCCAATGATTTAGCACCAAGATGGATGGATTGAGGCTCAGATCAAAAGCCGAAAATCACACAGCACCACCACACAAATTGAACCAAAGTAACCAATTCAAACGGGCCACAAGAATACCCAAAATCGGCCAAGAAAACTACGCACAAAAGGCAACAGAAAAGGGACCGAAACAAGGGCTAAAATCGTACACGGTAAAAAAACCAAGGTCCAAGTTGCCGGACAAACCGACAGAAGGAGCAACAGAAGACAACCCACAGAAGGGCAAAATACAGAGACCAAACAGGTCACGAAGAGAAGCAGCCAGAGAGGAAATCATGAGGTACAACCAATATCGAGAGGAAGCAGCCGTGTGTGTTATTTCAACACAAAGGGAAAGACCCCATTTAAATACACCATATAATAGGTTAAGTAATGGGTCGAGCTGTGGTCTTGGTCTTTCTTTGTAACTTGGGTTACCAGGTGTGATTTTCGACTCAACACAAAGTGTTTCATTAATTGACTTACGAAATGTCTAATGAATAATTCCGACCCGAATATTCATCATCGCCCTGAGTTCGTTCGGTATTAAAATATCCAACAACCTCCACCTTGATGCCAAATATACCGCAAAGAAAAGAAGAAACAAATTAGTGGTTGTACAATATGATTTCAAAATAAATTGAACATCATGTACCTCTACCAATGTTTAGAAGCGTAAAACAATTTCTAAACTTTACCAAGGGGAGCACGTTAGTACCCATGTCTGCAGGGTTGTAGTTAGAATGCACTTTCTCAAATTTTATCAAACCTTGATATATCTTATCTCTAATAAAATGCAGTCTAACATCTATATATTTAGTCCATTCATAAATTATAGGGAAAATTGCGACCGTGATCCTAAACCTTTCATTTTGTTGCAAATTACACCCAAACCTTTTATTTTTGCGATCGAAGTCTCAAACCTTTATATGTAGTTGTAGCGTCGGTCCCAAGCCTTTAATTCCGTCCATAAAACAGCCAGTCAACGTTACAACAGTAATTTTAAATC